ATATGATCAGTAGTTGAAATCCAACTATATTCTTATTTGAAAAAGTCCATATTAATATTGAAAGTCGAATGTCTCGAATCTCTCGAAGTATCCCCAACAGCAATATTGTAGCAATATTACACGTTGCAGCAATGTTGCAATAATATTGCCACAAGTTTTGTGCTATTGGAGATATTGCCTCTTTTCCGCGATGCTGATTGGTTCTTTCTATGCGCTTACTTCGTGAACGGTTGTCATTGCATTGATAACTGTTTACGTCATTCACAAAGTAAGCGCATGGATTTTGACAAAAAAAATTGTAGTATAGTGAAGTTATAGTGCAATTTAATAGTGTCAAATGCGCTAAATAGCGCGTGCATAGCGCCTGTTTTGTATTAGTATCCTAAATTATAGGAATTTATGATCGTTTTAATGAACAATTATAGCATGGATAGTTCATTGTTTTACCGAAGTAGAAAGAGGAAGAGAGAGGAGAGGAGGGAGGAGGGGGGGAGGGGAGAGAGAGAGAGAGAGAGAGAGAGAGAGACATTGCAATCACATTGATAATCATCTAAGGACCGGTTTTTCATTATCTGCTTAACTTGTAGTTACGCTTAACTTGTTTATTCAATGTTTTATACAATGGGCTTCATCTAATAATATCAAGGATGAAGCTTATTAGATTAAATATCAGATTAAGTTAACTAACTACAAATTAATCAGATAATGAATAATCGGCTTAAAGCCCGATGTCCACGATGCTAGAAATTGGTCCGAGATCTCGGACAGAGAAAAAATTAACAAATCACATTTGAACAATTTGATTACATGATCATTACGATTGGAATTCTTTCCTCATCTCGGCCCGATTTCTAGAATCAGGGACACAAGGCTTAAGCATATTACTAGTCTGCGGTAAAAATTTGTTTGAATAATTTTAGTTGTATTTGATATATTCTTGCCCAAGGTAAAGACTAATGTTTTTTTTAAAGAATAAAACATATTGTATTTCTTCTTAAATATGTTTTTAATGTTTCAAATATGCTTTAAACAGTACTATAAAAAAATACATATTTAAAACATATTAAAAATATCGATTAAGCATATTTTAAATTGTTTAAAACACATTTAAAACATGTTTTTTATCTGTTGAATTCTGTTGTACTCGAATTCGTTTTCCAAATCTGATTATTACGTCACGAATTCGAGTAAAATTTCGTTAATGTCATGCAAAAGTTAAGTAAACTTTTACCAGTAAAATAATTGGTTTTGTTTCGATTTTTCGTTTCCGCAATATTTATATTTTACCAATTTCGTATTTTTTATTTAGTATATACGAGTATATGATTAGATTATATCATATAAATACAAAAGCATTTACTTTTCACAAATACTACTTTCCGCAGAATTAAAACAGAATACAATGTTTTTTTTATGTTTTAATTACATAAACAAAGGACTTGAAAATCGTCGTTTTAGTCATTTTGATATCATTTTTCTCAAAATTGTAATGTGATAGCCAAATTTACAAAACAAATTCGTGTTCATCATCTAAAAAAGCTATGACAAACAATTATGTTCGTTCAGGCAGTGATTCTAATTCGTCGGCTAGTATTATATTATATATTATCTACGTTTAATTTTTATGATACAATTTGTAAAGATCGCTCATTCAAGCGAAAAATATCGCAGTTGTTGCACTGATTATATATGTTAAAATAACGATCGTTATATTATTTTCAGGTGTGAGTCATGGAGATACTTCTTTTATCGTATTTTATTCAAAAGCACTCCGATATATATGCGCGACCGATTGGTAGACCGTTTCGTTATATCACCACCATGGAAGGCCGATGAAAAGTGAATTATCGTTATTATCTTACTAAATAGAATTTTTCTTCTTTGTTATGTTTAATGTTTTTTTGTATTTCTTCTTTATTCAAAAGAAGAATATTATAATTATTCATTTAAAAAAATTGTGATTGAATGTGACATTACAACATTATAAAATGGAAGACTAATTATTATATAATTCCTCTCCTTTTTTCCTCTCTTTTACAATCTTGATTGGAAGTATTTTTTCGAACGAATAATCTATGAGATTGGCGCGAGTGAGGCATTTTTATATTATTTTATTCATTGATATGCTACTGATACAGCTGTCTGGTGGTGTGACGATTACATTGTTACTGCCCATCCAGCTGTAATAGCAAGTGAAATATTAAAATTTACGAGAAAATTATAGTACGAAACAATAGGAATCAGCAGTTTGGAAATACGAGTATATACATGCACGCGGGAATAAATACATGAAACACACATGCTTATAGTTATACATATAACGTTTATATATATAGTGGATCGGTCCGCTCGAAAGTAATATATCACGATAATTCTTTTCATTTCTATTTAGCTTCTTACGGTTTTAATTAGATTTTTTTCTGTACAAGTAAAGGAGTGGGGAGACTGTTTTTCGCTCCGTTGTGTATTGGCCTCCGTTATATTAAATAAATATTTGCTATGTAATTAAATTAAATATAATTATTCTAATTTGCTAAACGATTAACAATAGGCCGTTACTTCAAATATACGAGGTCATTGCGAGGGAAATATTACGAAGCATTGAGATTTTAGAAAGATCACGAAGACTGATACAAAAGAGGTAGCCGCGGCGAATAACATTTGTTATTCGATTTCGAAGAATAATGTAATTGTCGGTCAAAATAAACTTAAGTTTAACGGAATAAAATTTTTGAATTTCTTTTGGTCCGAACATATAACACAATTCCTAAATTGGATTTATCAAAAGCAACGATATATTTAATTGTTGATAGATTGCTTTGATTGTTTAGCGAATTAATTTCATGTTTGTGATTGATAATTTCTATAAACTTGCAATGTCATCGGTGCAGGTGTTAGCTCTCAAGTTAGTCTGGAGTTTTTTTTCATTCGAATTAAAACTTATCAGTGTTTAGGGCGGCCAGGTGTTCGATTAGATATTATCGTGCTAATAAATAAGCGATTATTTCACCGATTGGGAATCACATCGATCGCCACTGCTCCAGTAAAGACGCCAACATGAAAGCTTTCGCATCCGGTAAATTTTGCCATGTGCAACTGTTAATTTCTGAAATTTCTTTTTCGATTTACATAGTGTTTACTTCGAAGCGCATTTTTTCACTGTTTACACTTTTTGATTTATGTTGCAGCCTACATCATCCTTGCGATCTGCGTCGCAGCGTCCCTGCAGAACACTCCGTACACTCGGTGTGACGATGGACCTCCACCCCAATCATTGGTAGTAGATGGATGCAATAGTTCTCCTTGCGGTTTATACAGAGGAACTAATTTGACTGCGCATTGGGACTTTAGTCCCAGTAAGTAACGTTATATATGTATATAAAAAAAAGAATCAAGTTAAATGTTACCCAGGAACAGATGATCGGTGCAGATCCGAGCACAAATTATAGCGAATTAATATTAAACTTGCGTTCTCGTCTAGAACAATTATTCGCAGTTTGCATTTGCAAACGTAACATTGGCAGTATTGATGGTACAACATCAATGGACCACGATGGAAAGCCGAGTAAAATTTGTCGAACGCAGCCTTGAACAAAGTTCTATTGCTAGATTCTATTGCTAAATTTCCGTCAACAAATTACTTATTATTAGATGCTGCGTATGTTTCGAAATTTGTTTTGTGTAACATGTTTCGTTGGTAAAAGCTTGTGATATTTCTGGCAGCATCGCACCAATAGGTATATTATTATATTGCTTGACGAGCTTTCTTGCTGACAAAATTTAGCGAACCCTTTTTGAAATTTATCGTCTATTCTCGATGGCTCGATTATTTGAAAAATGATTGTTCAAGGATCTTTCCTGGGCACTGGCCATTCATCGTTAATTCATTTAATTTTTTATGTAATGTCTCTTGCAGACGCTGATACACTGCGACTGACAGTCCGCGTGAGAGTCACAATGATGGGGATCACGATACCTTATCCGTATCCTTACTCGAATGCATGCGAGTCTCTGACGAATGGCAAGTGCCCTTTGAGCAAAGGCGACAATGTGACGTACAATCTCTTCATGCCGATATCTAAGGAATATCCGTCTGTTAGCATGATCATCGAATACTCCCTGGTTAACGAAAATAACGACTCGCAAGTATGCTTCAAGTTAGACTGCCACGTGACTGACCCATAAATAAAATAAAAGACTTCCGTGTGTCACGACCTCAATAGCTTTAATCAATTTAATTCTTCTATTAACGTTAATTAATTATCCAAATATTCTTTATTCTTTGATATAAATTTCACATAAATTGTTAAATTTTTAAACAATATTGTATTGTAACAATATTATATTGTATTGTATTTTTGTTGTCTCTGAGGAGAGCTGAAAAGTGAGCCGAAACATGTAAGCGCGTTTTAGTGAATAAAGAGGTTTCACACCTCATAGATATATTATTTACGCGACGTCTTCTGCGCTTGACTCCTATTGCCTACCCGTATCCTTTCCAGTTCTTTGAATTATAAGGAGTCTTGGTTAGTTTGATTCGTAATACGGATTTATCATTGATTTTCTTCGAAATAAATGATACGAAAATAACGCATGACAGACATAACATGTGCAACTTTATTATTTAATAGAATCGAGACTTTAATCACAAGCTTTATAATTAATTTAAATAATAATTAAAATCCCTCTTTAGCACGAAATATTGCAGCAATATTGTTACTATATTGAAATTTTAATATTGTATTGGAAATATTGCAACAATATTGCAAAATATTACAATTTTAATATTTATAGAAAATGTTGCGATATTACAATTCAGTAAATAAGTACGCGGTCCTGTCACAAAAAGGATACGTTTCTCGTAAGGAGAAAACATCTAGAACAATCGAGTTAGCGAGTCTCCTAAACATTTCCTATCTTTTTGAGGCGTGTTCGAATTCCCACCTGGGTATTCCTCCTTCGGCCATGCCATCTTTATTTAACATTCACAGTGAATAACAAAGATGGAGTGATACTTGGTTGACACTCGGATAGGAATCTGAACGTAGCCTTGGATGTACTTTCTAGGCCTCTGAATATTTTTCGATCGTAACTTTATCGTATGTGTTTTGGAATGTATGATGCTAAATAATAATATGTTAGTAATTAATAAAACTAGAATAATTATTGAAATATTGCATAATGTTGTAGCAATATGTATGCAATATTTTATTTTAACGGACATTGTTGCAGTATTGCGGCAATGTTTAATGAAATATTGCAATTGAAATATTAAAATAATATTGCTGCATATTTCGTGCTGTTATACGTATAACTAACGTTATTTGTAACAGTAATATCTTTATAGAATATCTTCAATTTTGTTCCTTTCGTAAATTATTAAATTGACGATAGGTACATTGTTTGAATATCGTATAAATAAGTAAGTATTTAACATTATGAAAAGCGCTTGAAATGAGAAAATGGCCCGGTATTGCATCGATCCATTATTGCGACATCAATGAACGTCGTATACCGCGGGTATAAAGTAATGTATATTAAATGTAGCATAATTAGAGACCTCTCTCATCACGCTGTAAGTTTTTTGTGAGAAGAGATTAAAACTTTTACGAGTCCAAAAACTTTTCTTTCTAGCATATTATTTATATATGTATATTATTCCATGCGCTTGAATTTATTTACATTAAAGTCGGCGCGTAAGCGTGGGTCGCGTCCGCACGGTACGTCTATGCGCGAGAAGTGATGTTAGAAAGAAGGAAGCAGTTTTCTCTCGTGGAGAAAAGAGAGAAAGAGAAAGAGCGAGGCGGAAAAGATACGGTGAAAGATACAATACATATTATACACATGTTGCGCGGACGCGCAATCTTAGTCGAAGCCTGTCGACGTCAGCGACGTCATAAGTGCGGCATTGTACGGCAAGATGGCGGACGCGAGGGGGAAAATTAGCGGCGGGACGGGAGATCAAACGTCGCGTCGAAGTGATTTGAGTATCGAGTGAAAGGGATTGGCGCGTGGTGTGGCGCGGTGACGCGGCGTGAGACGGCCGGTTTATCGTTCGTTGATCGTTTCGATCACGCCGTCTCCTCGTGAGGACGTAAAATTTATTGCGTTGCGCCGTTAGTTATTATTATACTGACCGACGACCGTTACGCGAAAGAGCGCGTCGCGCTGTGGCTGTGACGTCACGTGTGTGTGTGTGTGTGTGTGTGTGCGCCAGTGCCTCTCCCCCCCTTCTTTTACCATCGGGTGGTAGGGTGTCGCTCTGTCTCTTTCTCGGGGACGAGACAGACGAGAGTTGGGCGTTTGCGACGGTCGGTGGTGTACGGAGCTGGTCGGAGCTCGCGCGGAGTGGAGCGGCGCGTTTCGGCCTGTTTCGGTCGCACGGGTAGCGATTAGCGAACGCGTATCGAGTCGCGCGCGATCAGTTCGCGCGTGTGCCACGGACGGAGGGATTACACGGAGGGAGTCCGGAATTGTGCTCTCAGTGTGTGTTGCGGAAGAGGACCGTCGAGGACGTCGACGGTGGTGAGACAGACGTGTGACACGCGCCCCGACGCGCGCAGCAGGTAGTCACCGGGAGTAAACGTCAACTACGTCAGGCCCGAGCGTCACCGGCTTGTTGTCAAGATGGCGTCCAAGGGGAAGCTAGACATCGAGGTCAGTACACTTTCCTCGTATTCCCTTTTTTTTTTCCCTCTCTCCCTCCAGGCCGGCCTGAATGCGCGAGCAGACCTCGGGATAACGAGGCGCCAGCGCCGCCGATGTCACCGAACGTCCTGAACCTCTACGAATATCTACGCGCCCCGCCAAATGCCGCCCAAGCAGAGCTTGGCCAGCTTCTCCAGCTATCGTATATTTTCGCTTCTCGTTGTGTTTCATCGCCTCTCACCCTGTCTGGCAGTGAATCGTCGACATTCGACGACTCGACGTCGATTAATCGTCCACCTCGCGCCGTGACACGAATTATCGCGCGCGCCGCGGCGCCATGCGTCGTCGCCTCGCTCGCGCTGTCCGATGCAACCACGCAGGAACGTCGCGTTGTCCGATGTAACCACGCCCTGCCCACGATAAATCCGTCTGCTTCGACTAGCAGCTTCGCTAGCTTCCCGCGTCTCGCGATTCGAGCTCTCATCTTTCGCGCTTATTCCACTTGAAATCGATTAAGATGATGGTTCTGTAAACGCGTTTCAATGGAGCGACTGAAGTTCAATCACCTGGCAATCGATTAACAGAGACGAAGATTTCCAACATTCCAACTCTAATGCTGAATTATATGTGTCGGGAAAAAAAATTTGTTTGACGGCAAACGTCGATTCCAACACGCTTATCGATTGTTTTACTTTCCTGTTGTACTTTTCTGTATGTTTAACTGAGGCCATAAATTAAACGCTACACGACGTTATGCGAAATGACGAGAGAGTTTGAGAAAACTTGAATGGGAAACGTGTAACTCTCGAGACGATAATTCTGTTTAATTTTTTTACTCGTTTTAAGTACGGCTTGGCGAATGTAAATATCATTGCAGGTGTCACGAAACGGCGTGACTCACACAGTCTCAGCCATTATCGAGGAGAGAAAATTATGGCACGATTATGGCGGATGACGTACATAGTTTGCTATTCTAAAAAAAAAAAAAAAAA